AAACATGGAGGTCCAAGGTCAATCTACAAATCCAACCCAGTCTCCCTTTAAAACGTACTAAAAAGTTCAACCTTAATTAATTAAAAGAGTCTTTGATACCCAGCTCTTATTCATAAACTTTCCTACTTAACACATAATTCAGTAGTGTAGTAGTAGTAAGAGTTTAATAGTAAACACAGGGTAGCACATTGATATGAGACTTCCAAAACTGTAGATAGACTCATTTTTGCCTCAAAAACCTTCACGTCCAGGGTTCGAATCCGGCTAGTAGTTCTTTGGCAACAGGAAAATCAAGAATGCTGTTCACCCAGATAGTAATCGAAATTGGCATACTTTGACAAAATTCACCATCTTGATAGCTTCAAAACCGTATTACATTGTGCATTTTCCAACAAAACGGGTCATCTTTTCGCCCCACTTTAAACAGACAACTTGGCTATCATTTGTAATCGGCGGGTAGGAAAATGGTCAGCTGATGCTCTTGAGGCCAACAGTCAACACCTTTCTGTTCAGTTCATCTGCGTGAGGAGCAATTCTTCGCAGTAATATAAAACATTTCAGTAAGTTCATCCTAGCTTCTACTCCATTATGCCTGATAGAAAAATGGCTTATTGTCAATTTTAAAGGAATTTTTCCATGTTAAACGCATGACTGAGTTATCCACTTAAAGTTCCCACTTACCATTAGGCCCACAATGGATCTATTCTCAAACGTTTTCCCAATTTCAAAGACCTTGGCATTGGGCAGATGCTGGTCTAGGGCACGAAGGGTGCTCACGATCTGGAAAAACAGAGATGCAAGCACAAGAAGAATAAACTTCGCAAAGACAATTAGTTAATTGTCTGATTAGTTAATAGAATGACTACAATAATGCATATAATGCAAAACAACATGAAATGGGGAAATTACAAATGTTATTACAATATACTGCGCTACCATATTCATTGTAGGTATGTCTTGAAAGTGTCAATTTGTCGGAAAGAAGGCCCGACCGCAAAGTTGGGAAATCGGAAACTTTTCGAACAGAAACACTTTTTTGAAGAAAGATAGGAAGACCAAATTGGTGTGGCCTTCTGTATCGTCGCAGTCTCCTTTCGTTGCATAGAAGTTGTTAGACCATGTTTTCGCAACTTGGTCATATATTGGTAGGAAGATATAGAGGAACGCACCTATTCCGAAGTTCATAGTATGCATGATATATGCATTTCTCTATTATTTTTAAGTGTGTCTAAAGGATGATAGTTGTCAAGGCCAGCCAACTCACCATAAAAGTGAGTTTTTATCTGCAAATTTCATATTCTTTATTAACGTTGACTTCAAGATTCTAGCCATAATTATGCAAGTATGGTTATACTACCCGAATCATTATATATATATATATATATATATATATATTTACATATTTTTTAAGTTCCTTTTTGGTTTTTAATATTTATAGCTGACTCATCTTCTAGACTTTGCCTTAACCTGAAGCGTTTGTGAGAATGTTGAGTACTGCCGGTTGACAATTAAAGCTCAGCCATTTTCCTCTGAAACGAAAGACTGCATCAACATAGACGTGCTAGTAACATGACACGACTGCAGAGAAAAAGGGAAGCAGTAAACACACACCTCTGGGTATTTCAGGTAGCGACTGTGCTTTCTTTGGGGCTGACCAAGGGATCTGCGTATCCGAGTCACAACCTGCGACTTCACGACATCTCGTAGGCTGACGAAGGCATCTCTGTTGACGTTCAAGGGGAGCAAGAAGGGATGGAAAAGGTAATGCAGGTTCTCAAGTGTAATGACATAAATTAGAAATAGCAGAAGCACATGCCTGTCGCCCACTTGGTAAGGCGCCTTCGTAGCGTTAGCTAAAGGCATATTGACACTGACAAGACCTTTTGATGTGTGGAAAATTTTATTTGTGGAACTCCTTTGTGACAATTTCTAGAATACACTTTAAGGGACGGCAACGCTCTTACTTTCATTTTATCGACAGAAATCAGGATGAATAAAGTCTATTTCTTACCTACCATTATGAATTAGACATAGTACACAGAATCAGGGCTGTCTGAAGGTGTGAGATTTCCGATCGTGCAAAGTTATGTAAAAATGCATTATTTTGATTTTTTTTTAAGTAGGCTATAGAGACTGCGTTAAACTCTACGCCACATTTCCACGAATGCTCTTGGGCCACAGGGCCGATATGAATTTCAAAGAAGACTAAACAGTTTTCCATATCACATTCTGTGATGGGATTGTCGGTGAGGCAATTCTACTTGCTATAGCAATCGAATTATAAAACGTAACTAGGTAACGTAGTTTACTGCTATATCAACTACGATTTTGCTTCATTGACAATCTAAGCACAGAATGTGGTATGAGAAAATGTCTGCTCTATGAATCAAGGCTTCTCGTAGCAGTGTTGCATAGTGGATAATGTGTATAGATTAAACGCTGCACTTTCATGGTTCGAGTTCAGCAGGGGGTGCTGATGAGACCAGTTCGTGCAAGATCGAAACTACCTACCACTCCTGCCGTGATGAGAATACCTTTATGGAAAGTAAGGCTATATGAAATTCCATGGAAATGTAAGGTGAGCCACTGTCATCTTCTGGAGAGATCGAGCTCACAGCATTTCCCTCAAAATTAACATAAGATATTGTGGAAGGGACTTTCATTTCGTATGAGGGTGCATAAAGAAGAGATTCGTCGGTCGATCTCACCCGATGAGGACGGCTGAATTGCGTTGTACCGCAGCCGTTTGGCTTTTATATAATGTTCAGCATGATGCAGTCCACGAGACTTCCTCACTCGTTTCGGATGAAAGCAGTGTTATCTCAGAAGATTTATCGAAACCCAGTTTCTCTTCTTATCTCTAACACAAGATAACCACGACAAAATTCTTTGTGGGTAGAACTAGCGATCGCCTGCCGATCTTAAGTTCACTCAGCTATCTTTTGTCTCCCACCGGCCCTATCAGCAGCTATTCGAGGCCATTTCACGTCCTTAGCAAGGTTCTCATTCACCGGGCTATAGGAGGGAAATAGGAATTTCCTGTTAATTAAGCAAATAGGTTTGTAAGTCCCATTTACAAGTACCATTTGTACAACACGCAAGTGTGTTAGGATGAGACCAACCTCGCCAAATCCTTCTTGATCGTACGTAGGGCTACGTTGTACATCTTGCACAGCCTGTAGAAATTGGTGAGACCCTTTGGTGTCACCATTATATGAAACGGTTTGCCGAGTCCGGTCGGTTCCCGCCATATGTCGTAATAGCCCTGAAATACGCAAAATAAAAAAATGCATAATTAGCTTTTTGAGAGTACCAGCAGATTTAAGCTATTTCGTTTAAGGTGATAATATGACTGGTAGTTCAAGCTTCCCACAAGGATATGAGTAGATTTTACATAGCGTTGTTGCTAACGTGTTTCACTGTCGTGGCTCGAGTCCCGCTGAGGGTGGTGATGAGAACCAGGCGGAGTCGAAACTGCAGTCTACTCTACCCGGGATGAGAATAACTTTTAGGAAAGCAAGGCTTTGTGTCTACTCATATTATTGTGGGTTGACTCAACTACCAATACTCTTATTACTTTAAACATAATTGAGTAAATACATTTCGTATAAAAAATGTAAACAAAAATCTCTCTGCAAAAAGTAAGCAAAGTAAACTTTAAAAGGCACAGGATTATAGTCAACTTAAATCGCCTATTTTAACGTTGGCGTGTGCTTGTAGTTAATCCGGCCTCATTTCATCTAACCACGACAGCCCTACATATGAAGTTCTTATTCAGCTTAATAACAGTGAATTTATCACCAATCCTCAATTAAAAGGTATAAATGTATGACCTTATTGTGATGCATTAGAGCTGGAAGACAATAACTATAATGATGTGTAGGCAGGGCTTTTAGATGGGTTAAATAGGCTTGCACAAAGTTCCCACATTTGAAGCAGATGAGCGAGTTATGCGGATATAAGACAATTCTCCCAAAGTTATGAAGTTCACCGGCTCATGCGTTGCTAACATCGTACATAATTGACGCTTCGAGTTGTGTATCAGACTTATTAAGGCGAAGATGCCCATTCACCCGATGTTCTTCTATTCCTTGCACATTGCAGCACCAATTCATCGCAGTTGAGTAAAGTTACGGTAACATTTTCTATCCAGTCAATGGCAATCACAACAAAGTCGTAGCGGTTTATCTTTGTTCATTTTGCCAGAGGTCTTCGTCTACGCCCCGCGAAAAGAGGGACAAAGGAGACCAGCATGTTTTATGTTTTCAAGTAAACTTTTGTAACGAATTGAAAATTAAGGAATCAGTAATATCTTGATTGGAGAGTCAAAACCAAATTAAAGTTTAGTTTATCGTTAAATCTCATTATATGCTTTTCGTATGAGACACCTCACTATCTGTACCAGTTTGTGCAAAAATTCAAATGTCAACATGCACATTTACATCACTAAAAACGATATGCCAGTTAAAAGGCCGACTGCCATTGTATGCTAGCGAAATGTTTCATGTTGTTCTTTAGCCATTTAGCTTTAATATGAGGCTCAGGCCGACTCAAACTACGAGGCATTCTCATGTGTTGCTGGGGCAAGCGTCCGTAATTATCTCATCCTTACAAAAGCTTCATGCCAACACAAAGTCAAGCATATTATCCGGCACTATCGTATATGCCATCGATACTCATAACTAAAAGACAATATGCAAAGGAAAGTTGTGTATCGAGGAGTCTCTAGTTCCATAATTGTTGAACTTACTTCCATTCCGAGTGAAAGTATTTGGTGAAGAGATTCGAAGGAAGATCCTGCAAGAATACGATGACAGATTACTCTTGACCAAATGTCGATTGGTTTTCCTCGAGCATTTTTATTGGCGCTATATTCCGATGAAAACGTGCTAAGCTTTTGTCGGTCGTATGAGGGACATATTCAGAGCAGGGTATCATCCTTACAACCATATTAAAGCGAACGAGTCAAGAAAAGTGTTTTCTTCGGAATCGAAGAAGATTACCTCAGAATCAGCATCAATAAGAATGTTCCATTAAAGCCAGTCGATAACTGGACAAGAGGATTCTTCTGGTGGAATCGACCTTCGAATCTCTTCACCAAACACCTTTACTCGAAACGGAAGTAAGCTCTACAGTGTAACATACACCTCAAGTTACCAAATGGACAAAATTAAGCAATGTTAAGCAAAGTAACAGCATCAAACTGCTCTACTTTGTGCACCCTACTTTTCGCATTTCACGAATATTCGTTGCCATACAGTTGCATTGTAGCTACTCAATAGGATAACGCTAGGTCATCACGTTGATTAAAATTTGATTAAGAAGTAAGCGGTACAGCAGGCTTTGAGGAGCTTGGTGAATAATTCCTACCATAAAACAAGTAGCATGAGCGAATTCCTTCTTGGCATTGAGGTTTGCCTTTTTAGATATGTTGATCAGTAAAGACAACATATTGGGTGGGAATCGAATGAGACAACTTCGGAAACAGTGTCGAAAAAAATGTAACAGTAAATTAAATCGGCAGCTAGTCAACAGGAATCCGTGTCGTCTTCTGGTGGGATCAACCTTCGAATCTCTTCACCAAACATCTTCACAACACAACAATTATGAATCAAGAGATTTCTCGAAACCCAATTTTTCTTCACTGACAAATTGTCTCATTTCATAAGAGTCTAGAAGTTATATTAGTTCGCCTATCTTTTTAGTGAGAATGCGCGTAGGTAAAGAAAAAACATTTCCGAAGGCCTCCTTATCTATTCTTACTTATTCTCTATTCAGACCCTATTCTTTATAAATCTAATGTCATTTTCAATCAGACCTATGGGATTATTATTCTCAAGTAATATTCAATTGAGACAATTCATTTCGTTATCATAATGATGTCTATCGGCGAGTCTTATGCTACATAAAATCAAAGATTTTAAAACGCCAACTTTTGTTTTGTAAATGTGGTTGGAGAAGAAATTTACGATACCAAGAGAAACTTGGTTTCGATGACTCTCCTGAGATAACATTGTTGAGGAGACCTTCATCTCGTATGAAAGTGTATGAAGAAGAGTTTCGTAGGTCGATCTCACCAGAAGACGACGGCTGATTTGAGTTGTACTGCAGCCGTTTGGCTTTTATACGATATTCATGTTGACGACACCTCCCTTGTTTC